TCATATGAGAGTGAGGGGGACTACAAACCGCACCCGGCCCCACGACAGCATGAGTGGGGGGGGGAAGTATTTTGGGAAGTGTAAACCACCAAAATTATAATGGGGGCCAAGGTTGAGAAACACTGATCTAAGCTTTTAAAAAAATTCAAGTGTTTGGAAAAGGTTGTTTAAAATGCTAGGGACTGCTTTGGGATCTTTACAATGAGGAGATACATAAATAATTTGTGCAATAGAGACTTGTCACTTCCCACCATGTATGTAAAAAGCAGGAAAAAGTGCAAAAGGAATATTAAGGATTTTACGTCTCGCTCAGAGTTCCCCAAAGTCATCCATGACGTTTCCCCGTCTGTTTTGTTGACTTGATATTTATCACGGTGATATTACAGCCTGAATATCTCATTTTTCAATTTGACAAGCTTCTAAACCTTGAGGATGCAAACTTTGGCCTGAGGGGGTATAGACAGCTACATTTGATTAAAGTTAAATAATATAGGGTGTAAAATGTATTTCAAAGGATACTTAAAATATAGAACTAAGATAGATGAACATCTGGGCATTTGCTGTAATGTAGACAATATGGAAAAATCCTTTTTTGAGGGCGCCATACTGTTTTCTTGGAACTGTCTTTCCACAATTCCAAGTATGACTGTACTGGCATGCTGGGGATTCTGGATGTTGTAGTCCCAGCACTTCTGGAGGCTTCCAGTACACTGAAGCTGATATATTTAATTTTGTCTTAGACCTGCTTCAATGACTGTTGATGGCTGCAAATTAACCCACGTTCTGGATATGCAGAGTACGCTAGCAAAGGGGCTGGGCTCACAGAGCATGTTAAGCCTGAAAAAAAAATAACCAAGGTTAACATTAACCAAGATTCTCCCTAGGAACGTTTTGAAATTGGCATTTCAGAATATTGATACGATCTCGGGCCGTGTTTTTTTCTCTCCGATTCTGCTAAACCAAGTTCCCTCGTTCTCCGTAAATCTTGAGACCCAATCATCCTCATTCATTTACAAGCCTTCATTTCAGCGATTAATGAAAATTGGTAGTTTGCACTTTTTCTGCAAGAAGTAGAGAACATTTGGGAAAAAGGACGAGGGGCCAACCCGCACGGTTTGGCACAGGGGCATCGTGAGAGGTGAAAGTTAGAAATGATATGAAAAAAAGGGACGGGGCTTCATTTGGGAGTGGGTGCCATCTTGACTTTTTTGACCCCACTCTGTTCCTCTACTGAAGTTGCTTAATGGCTGAGATTGTAGGAATTGTGCGTGTGTGTGTGTGTGTACGCACACGCACACACCCGGAAGCCACCTCTTGCATCCTTCATCTGTAATTTCTCTTCTCTGGACTCTGATAGACAGAGAAAAGGCAGAGAAAATCAGAAATGAATGGGATTTAGGCCCAGTTGGGAACACCCTCAGTTTGGAAATTGTCCAACTTGGAAAATGTCTCGCCACTTCCTCAAAAGCGTGACTCAGCAGATGTTTGCTGACTCACTGGGGCAGGGAGGAAGTAACCCCGGAGCATCTTTTCTTGGACATCATCTAACAGAGGTTGACTGGCAGGAGCCTTGGCCAGCCACCTCGGCCCTAGGCAGGTGCTAGGTTTTCATCTCCCATCATCCCCAGCCAGAAGGGTCTCGGGCTGCGTACAGCGGTCTTGGGTCTGCATTCAGTACGGAGAGTAATACCTCTGCTGGGTAAAGAAACTTTTTTGCAAGAATTCTTCCTGGGAGCGCCAGGCGTCAGTGAAGAAGCCCCTGGCTGAGGCTGAACCAAGACCAGACAGCCTTGGAAAGGCTGCAGGGCCCCCCTTGGCCCCTGAAATGTGCACAAAACCAGGAGAAAATCTGGATTTGATTGACGTTAACATTAACCGGGGTGGGCTTGCGGTTCTCCAGGGTCGCTTCTGGCACCGTGACTCTAAAATAAGGGAGTTAATAAAGCGACTCCGTCTGCGTTGAGTACCTTTTCCCTTGAGTACTTTCCCTGTTCAAAGTAATACTTTGGGGGACCCGTAGGGAGGGGTGAGGGATGGCACCTTGGCTGAGACTTAGGGGTGCCCTCTGCCCGGCATCTTAAACGAAGGCTGAGGTGCTCCTGGCTGCCCAAAAGCTCCCCGTCTGCGCGGGGGATCCTGGCCGGGTGATGCTGCTCATCACGGGCTTTCAGAGCAAAGGAGATGCTCGGGTGACTTAGGAGTTTTGCGCGGAGTGGGCTGTGTTGCTTAGCAACAGCCAATCTGAAAGGGGCTGGTGGCGTTTGGCTGTTCCTCTTTTTGGGGGAACGGGAAGTGGATTGCGCCGTCTGGAAGTCATGGTCATAACAGTGAAAGCAGGAACCGACCCACCACTTTGCAGCCAACGTTGTTTTTCAAGGCTGGTCTGTCCTGAGTTGCAACGAGAAAGGAGGACCGAAAAAAGACTTTCATTGGCCAAAGTCCCCTTTCTGAGCCAAGTGCCCTGCAGATGTGCAGGACTACAATTCCCATCTTTGTCCAGCCAGCATGGGACCTGCGAAGCAAGCCATTTTGTCACAGCACCTGTCCTCTGGAAACCCTCTCCCCCTCCTCGTATACCTGCCCCCCATCCTGGCCGCGTTCAGAAGAGCTGCGAAACCCCTGGCTCTTTCCCCCAGCCTTCCCCAACCTGGTACCCTCCAGGTATTTTGGATTGCACTTCCTCGAATTCCCTGCTTTTGTGGGCTTTGTAGTCCCAGTCCAGAGACTCATAGAAAAAAAAGGAGAAAGGGACCTCCAGCCCCTCCGTCTATGCAGAATCCAGCAGAGACGGGTCCTTGATGTGGGGTACGTTTTGGGGGTCTCTGAAGTCGGCAGAAAATGACAACTTCGTTTTCGCTAACCTCTAACTTTAATTAGTCATTCAATAATGTGTGTGCAGGCCACGAAATAATGTATGGCTTTTAGACTCCAAAAATGTTGGTTAATATCATTAAATCACACTCTCTAAAATTATTAGACTCTTTAAAAAAAGGTTAGTGTCTTATTAATGGGTTAAGAAAAAAGTGCGCATACTAAAATATAATGTATTGTTATTTTTAAATATTTTGGTATTTGAGCAGGACTAATTTCCTTTGTAATACTATTTATGTATTTCATACATTGAAATACAGGCAGGTCTCGATTAGTGTGGTTAATGAATCCCATGAAATGGTCGCGTTATTCGAATTCGCGCTATTAGAAGTGGTATTTCTATGGGAAATAGGGTAATTCATCCCAGCTTGATGGAAATAGGAAATGAAAAATCTTAAATTTTAATTTTTATATGTGTATCAGTGAAATATTACAGTAAAGGATAAAAAGAATATAATTTAAATGTATGGTTAGCAAAGTCACAGAGTAGTTATAGAAAGCAAAATAAAAACAAAAAAATTCCACTATAGATCCAGGCATTCCAACATCTCATCCTAATTTAGCGTTGTTATGACCACGTTCATGTTGTTCAATTACATCAAATTCCTGCTCTAGTATAACAACCCTCTTCTTTTTCGAGCTTGTGCTGTTTTCCTCTGAAGGAATCTTCCTTTTCTCCATTTTGTACACAACGAAGATTAACAGCGTGTAAAACCCGTAACGCAACTGTACATGCGCTAGCCTCAATTGCACATGCGCCAGCCTCACATTAACTGAATTTTGGGTCGCATTGAACGCAACCTGGTATCAGTTTACAATTCACACTACTGTAAATTGAATATCACATTACAGGTAGTCTTAGCTTAACAACCACAATAGGGACTGGAAAAATCATCGTTAAACAGGATGGTCGTTAAGCGGAGTGTCATGTGACCTCCCCAATTTTATGACATATTTGTGGTGGTGGTGGTGAAGTGAATCATGCAGTTCCCCACTGATTTTGCTTGCCAGAAGCCAGCTGCGAAGGTTGCAAATGGTGATCATGTGACCGCGGGGGGGGGGCTGCAACAGCCATAAGTGCGAGGACCAGTTGTAAGTAGCTTTCTTCAGTGCTGTCGTAACTTCAAATGGTTGCTAAATGATTAAGTCATTAAGCGAGGACTACCTGTTTTCAAATTTGCACTAATCGCAACCTCCCTGTACATTTTTCTGAAAAGGAGTTTTCATGATTCAAAGGATAATGAACCCTTGGGCTAGCGCATCTCTACTAGGTGACCATTCAGCCTCTGTTGGAAGATTTGTGGAAAATTCACCACTTCATGAGGCAGATGGTTCCTCTGGCTAACAGCTGCTACGTCAGGAAGTGCCTCTGAATCTCCTTTCTCATCATTTTTATCCAGAAGTTCTGATCCTGCCCTCTGGGCAACACTGATCCCCTCTGCTTTGCGGCAACCCCTCACAGATATTTGTCTTTCAGTTACCTTTTCTGGAGACCAAATATACCCCAAACTCCCCAGAAGGTGGTGAACTTTAGGGACTGCAAGCCATGAATTTTCTTCTTCTTTTTCTCCCCCACAAGGGCAGAGCTCCTTCTGCTGGTCCTTCTGCTCCTCAGCTGCTTTCGGATTCTTCATCCCGTCCCTCCCTCAGACCAGCCTGAAGCTGCCAGGATGGTTGGATTCAAGCCCTCCGACGTCCCTCCAACAGCCGCTGTCAAGTTTCTGGGAGCTGGGACAGCGGCCTGCGTTGCAGACCTGATCACCTTCCCCCTCGACACGGCAAAGGTCAGGTTACAGGTGAGTTCCTGTTGAGGTTTTGCCCGGTTGCCCCTCCAGAGGTGGAGGTGGGACCTGCAGCTTCCAGTCTTGTTCGAGCCAAGGACTTCATGCTCAGCCTCAGGTGTCTACCGGGGTTGGCCTTCTCCAACCTGGTCCTTTGGCTGAGGAGGTTGGGAGATGCAGTCCCAGCTGTCTGCTGGGGCACTGGGTTGGGGAAGGCTGAAGCTGCCTGGGAAACCCCTGGCCCGGTCTTCCTTGGCTGCCGTGGCTTTTTGGGCCCCTGGGGCTGGCCTGTGGCCTGTTCAAGCAGATCCCTTTTTCCTTTCGTGTGAAACTGTGGATGAAGGAGGAAAAGGGGCTGGGCCAAGTCTGCTCAGCTGGACCTGGTGGGGGGGGGCCCTTGAGGCAGTTGACAAAGCAGCAGGTTGGGTGATGGTCCTTAATCATGAACGGGCTCCTGCTGAATTGAGAGAGGAGGAGGTTCGATCAGAAGAGCTGAGCGAGGGGATTTCGTCGGGGCAGATCTCGGAGAATGGCTGCAAAGGTGGATAAGGGACCGGGGGCTTGAATTGCAATGGTTTGGTGCATCCCTCGGCCTTTTTGCTCTAAGGCAGTGTCTCTTAAACGTTTGCTCTCAGGACCCCTCCCCACTTTTAAAGATTACTAGACAAGCCGTGACCCGCTGGGCCATCGGTTCAGAGATATTCCCTTACCTAAACAGAGAAACAGAATGACCAAGGGCAAAAAAGCAGTGGGAGGAGTGGGAGTGATTACCGACTTCCTGCTGGCTTCCCCACTGACTTTCCTTGTGAGAAGCTGGCAGGGAGCATCGTAAATCTTCCTCCCTCCCTCCCTCAAGGGAGGAAGAAGAAGGCTCGCCCGTCGACCACCGGTGCCCCCAGCCAGCCCACCTTGGCACCAGGCATCCAAGTCGCTCCCTCATCCTTCCCTCAGTGCCCACAGCTGTTAAGAGATTTCAGATTTCTGCCTTGTTTCCAAAGCAGCCAATTGCCACTCACCCATCGGGCCTTGCTGCCAGCCAGTTGGGCGCAGGGGACAGAGGAAGGCGGGAAACAGGTCAGGGATACACCCATGATGATCATGTAATCTGGGTTGACCACAGTGGCGCAGCAGCAGAGTAGTGCTGAAGCAGCCACAAATTTCCCAAATTTCAATCCCATGGGAGTCATGGGTCCCAGATTTTGGACGTATTCTGTCAGTTAGCCCATTTGAGATACAGTGGTACCTCGGGATACGAACACCTCTACTAACGAACTTTTCGGGTTACGACCAGCTCCGGCCGCAAAA